TATATATGTTTATTCTAATTATTTCGCTATTAGACTTGAATCATGATGATATAAACAATTAGTTCATAGTAATTTCGTCATTGGGCCGTTTAATTTTTTTCTTTCCTTTGTTGAGATTTAATCCTCTATTAAATGGTCACATAGAATCGCCACACATTGTCAACAACTCCTCATTTACATCTAAAGTAACTGCTTTTACACATTTCTCTCGACCAAGGCCAGCGATCGACTTGCTATCGGCAAACAAAACGAAAATTTATTCTTCCTTTATATTCAACGGGGCCAAAGGGAGCACTGTTATTATTATCCTCACATTATAATAATAATAACATTAATGATAAGATAATAAACTTCCAAAGGTAAAAAAAACGAAAACAAATCATTACCGCAGAAGAATCTTGTTTGGAATGCAATTGCAGTGGTGTTGGTTGATGCTTCTCGTTGCGTAGAAGTCTCCGTCGACGTTGAAGAATGTGGTGATATCTGGGATGACGTTGCAGGTTGCGTCGATGTCTGTGTCGACGTCGTGGTTTGCGTCGATTCCTGTGTCGACGTCGTGGTTTGCGTCGATGCCTTTGTCGACGTCGTGGTTTGCGTCGATGCCTTTGTCGACGTCGTAGTTAGTGTCGATGCCTGTGTTGACGTCGTGGTTTGCGTCGATGCCTGTGTCGACGTCGTGGTTTGCGTCGATGCCTTTGTCGACGTCGTAGTTAGTGTCGATGCCTGTGTTGACGTCGTGGTTTGCGTCGATGCCTGTGTCGACGTCGTGGTTTGCGTTGGTGTTTTTGTTGAAGTTGGAGACTGCGTTGATGGCTGTGGCGATTTTGATGTCTGTGAAGGTTGCACTGTCTGTGTCGAGACTGAAGGTTGTGAATTTGTTTGTGTTGATGCTGCTGGCTGTGTAAGTGTTTGTTTCGGTGTTGAAAGTTGTGCTGACGTTCCCTTTGAGACTGTAGACTGTACAGACGTCGGTGGCTCTGTTGTCGATGTTGACCCTGTCGGAGATGAGGATGAAGAATTCGGTTTTGAAGCTGATGCGTGTGACGACCACGTTGCCTCCTGTAAGGTGGCTACTTGTGTCGGCGATGGTGTCTGTGCAATCACAAGTAAATGTAAAATGGTGTATGTCTGTGCTGGAAAGTTATTGTGAATATAGTTATTATATATGAGTTTAAAAAAATAAATCGATTTTCCAATCCAGTTTATACTGTGGATGACATTTATGTCATCCACAGTATGATTCATATGTATTTTTACTGAGCACTTTAAACACTAGGGCTAACTGATTTAAGAATTCCCATTCATAACCCGAAAGAAAAAGCATGGCAGTCAAAAGATTCAGTTGATATATATGGTTAACCTCACATGCGGTTCTTTGCTGTTATACTGCATGAAACAAACAAATATTTACTGCATAGGTTACAACTGAATACAGTGATGTATGAATGCACCTGCAACAAATAAATAGGAAATCGTAAAGGATATCAGTTAATCTTTCAGTATAGGGAATTCAACTGGATTTAAAAGTGAAGAAGAATATAATTGTCTATAAGCAGATTAATATGGTATTTAAAGTAGCTCATTCAGCATCTGCAGGATTGTTTCTGCTAAGTATGGTAGGATAAAATAAAATAAAATAAAGCAAGACAAACCAAACACAAAACAACAGAGATATTTAAGCTGAGTAATATAGATTTCAGCAGAGCTATGTCTTTAGTAGTTATTGTAATTTGCAAGTCTACAGACCAACCTACATTTTATTCTTTTTATCCTTTTGGGTGGTTATTGTGGGTTTAAACTCACGTGCAAGGTGACTTGTGCCGCAAACCCTCGTATGTGACTTTCATAATAGCAGTCACCATACCTTGCGTATCTGTAGTTGATTGCGTTGCACTTGTTGCACTCGGGGTGTTTGGCATTGAAGGTGACTCTTGATTCGGAGGAGTTGTCGGTAAGCCTGTGGTTGGCTCTTCCATGAATGTTGGGTTTGCAGTCACTGTCTGCTTCGACGACTCTTCGGTGACAAGTTGCTCTGTGGTTGGCTTATTTGTCAGATTTTCCTTTATGGTTGGCTTGACAGTTACTGGATCACTGCTGGTTGACTTGTCAGTTAAAGGTTGGCCAACGGTTACGGGTTGTCCTAATGTTGGCATTTCAGTCAGAGATTGCCCAGCACTTGGGGTAACAGTTACAGGTTGCTTCAGAGTTGTAGATTGTCCTGCGATTGGCGTAACAGTCAACGGTTGGTCTATGGTTGACTTGTCTGGCAAAGGATGCTCTGCAGTTGGCTTGTTAGTTACAGATTGCCCTAGGGTTAATTCGACAGTTAAAGATGGTATCATCGTTATTGTTGCTGATGCTGTTAAAAAGGTAAAAAAGCAAAAAGAAAAAGAATGATATAACGCTGCTTTGATACAACAGTACTGTAAAATTGAACAAAAGTACATTAGTAATTGGATGATATTCACTACAGTGAAAAGGTGCTTTATGGTACGATATAATAGAACCAAAAGAAATACGCTCTAAAAAGGGGGGGTTCAAATACACACATATACGCACTCACATACACAAACGCACACACACAGACATGTATGTGCACTGGTTTTTTTCACCATTTATATATATATATATATATATATATATATATATATATATATATATATATATATATATATATATATATGTACACATACACACACACACACACGCGCGCACACAAGCACACGCATACACACATATGTATATATATATATATAAATATATATATATATATATATATATATATATATATATATATATATATATATATACATATATACAAACCAAACACAAAACAGAGACATTTAAGCTGAGTAATATAGATTTCAACAGAGCTATATCTTTTGCAGAAGTGCAAGCAAATGGAACCAATCCTTATTCACAAAGAGGGAAGAAAATTATAAGCAGGTTCGTGACGCACGTTTAATGCCAGGTACGTTGTGCGGTTGGACTACGGATGGTTTGAAACTCACGTATAAGCAATTGGTTACGCAACTTTATTGAGAGAATCAAGATGTCTTTGCTGAGAAAACGCACTCCATCACTTGTTCCCCTGCTTCAAATTCCACAAATTTTCAAATATCTCGAGTACAGTGGTTTTAGAACAAACTAGGATATTGAAAAGAATATTAGCATGACATGCAAGATATCTAATTCATGTAGGTTATGGAGATGATCTTAAAAAAAAAACATAAAATCTATAGAATATTACGAAATTACAAGATAAGATAACACTGTCACATTGATATGCAATATCGTATTATTTTTTCTAGTTGTGTATGAATATAGTTTGAATTTTTAAAACTGCAAAGAGACATAAGAAATTCTGCTGACTTTTTTTTTTACTATGAGTGAAATTAAAATTGTGGGTTAACAGTCACATACCAGATGGTATGTGCCACAAACATTTATCTAAGTTTTTGTTATTCCAAAAATGATGTCACTTGTGAATAAAACTCACTTTTGCAAAGCTCATTACTTTTAAAATGAATGATTGTGGATTTACAGTTACGTCTAAGGTGGCATGGGTCTCGAATGCAAAATAGTTCATGATTAAGGGTTACGAAAATATTCTAGAAAATTCTCATTATATATGTACCTGTACAAATTATGAATTATAAATATGCGTATATCTATAAATAGGAATCAAGGAAATTGTTGTGAATGAATTAGTTTGGCTTCTGGAGGGTGCAATTATGCATAGTGTAAGTTATACGCCTCACTAGGGTTAAATTGCTCGGCCTTTATTGTAAGCAGAGTTACTGTAGGATTAAGCTCAAGTAAAAAAGTAAAATGTGCTGCAGTGATTTACTGATTATTTATGCAGTAGTTATTGTAATTTACAAGTTTACAGACCAACCTATTTTTTATTATTTATATTATTTTGGGTGGTTATTGTGGGTTTAAACTCACGTGCAAGGTGACTTGTGCCGCAAACCCTCGTATGTGACTTTCATAATGGCAGTCACCATACCTTGCGTATCTGTAGTTGATTGCGTTGCACTTGTTGCGCTCGGGGTGTTTGGCATTGAAGGTGACTCTTGATTCGGAGGAGTTGTCGGTAAGCCTGTGGTTGGCTCTTCCATGAATGTTGGGTTTGCAGTCACTGTCTGCTTCGACGACTCTTCGGTGACAAGTTGCTCTGTGGTTGGCTTATTTGTCAGACTTTCCTTTATGGTTGGCTTGACAGTTACTGGATCACTGCTGGTTGACTTGTCAGTTAAAGGTTGACCAACGGTTACCTTATCAGTTACAGGTTGTGCTAATATTGGCATTTCAGTCAGAGATTGCCCAGCACTTGGGGTAACAATTACAGGTTGCTTCACAGTTGTAGATTGTCCTGCGGTTGGCTTAACAGTCAACGGTTGGTCTATGGTTGACTTGTCTGGCAAAGGATGCTCTGCAGTTAGCTTGTTAGTTGGATGATATTCACTACAGTGAAAAGGTGCTTGATGGTACGATATTATAGTAAGAACCAAAAGAAATACGCTCTAAAAAAAGGGGGGTCAAATACACACATATACGCACACACACACACATGTATGCGCACTGTGTTTTTTTCCACCATTCACACACACACACACACACACACACACACACACACACACACACACACACACACACACACACACACACACACACACACACATACACACACACACACACATATACACACACACACACACACACATACACACACACACACACACATACACACACACACAGGGTTTGGTTCTACGTTGATTCTTGTCTCAGCCGAGCACTTGGAGAAGTCCTGTTGTTGGAAACCAGTTAGCTGGGCAGGACAGGCTCTAACGTTGGCCTATTGGTTTCTACTAGATCTAAGGTTGTCTTATTATCTCAAGCTTGCTGTGTAACTGACTCATCAGTTGTAGATACAGTTGGCGGTGTTAATACAGTTGCTGTCGTAGTCACCGATTCGGTAATTAGCTCATCTCTCAGGGGCGATGCTACGGAAGATTGCCAGTCAAATGCACTCCCGGAACTCGTTAAAGCTGATGTTGATTAAAAATTAAAATAGAAATGGCTAAACAGAAACAAAAATAAGTACAGGGTGATATAAACAGATTCATCAAAATGAAATCACGGAACCAATTCTGAGTTAAAAAACAAAACAAAACAAAAAAATGTTCATAACATTTATTCAAAATCAGTTTCAAGCTATCGGAACAAAGCAGACAGAATCAGATATAACCTTAAAGAATTATTCTTCAGGCAGCCACATTAGAAACGAACTCTGCCAATTTTATGCTTACATGAAGCTCAAATGTGCATACTGAGTTAAATTGCTGCAGTTTTGGTATTTTATTTATCTATGTGTTAGCATTACATGAATGACAACCGTCGGCTATGGATTACGACGAGGATCTAGAAAAAAGATAATGTACATAGTGTACAATTAGTAAATATTACATCTATCAACATATATATTTCTAATTATCTTTTCAGTGCAGCAGTTCCCAGGCGGTGGTGTGTACACACCTAGAGGCGTGTGAGAGGATTGCTGGAGTTCTAAACGAAAATATCTGTTAAGGTGGCAATAAATCTGATTTGAGCTGGAGACTACATTTTCACTCGATTTTGATAGGTGTTGTTCAGAACCTCATAATTTGCATACACAAAATGTGCAATTGACAAAACTTAAAACTGGCTGAAACTTGATTGATGCGAGTGAAAATGTAACACTGAACTTTCCAACTATGTAACACTATAATATCATGCAAACAGCAGTGATGCATTACTTGGGAAGTCTGAAATCAACTGTTGGAAGGACAAATTAGTAAAAGATATAGAAAGTAAATAAAAATTATATAGTTATGTGGTTTGGGTTTTAGAATCTGAAAGCTATTATTGTGATTTAATGGTCACGTGCAAGGTGTAATGTGCTACAAACATTCATTTTTGCCTTTTGTTAATTAGATAATCAATTTCCGTCACAAGTGAAGTTAGCAACCTCTTTATCCCTTTTAGAAATATTAATTATGATTTAACACTCACGCATATGGTGTGCACTGTCTTTTATTATGACAAACGTCGCTGTGCCTTACAAGTGAAGAAGTAAACACCAGTTTCATAGTTTTTAAAAATATTTTACTGTAATAATTAATGATAATTATTTGTGTGGGATTAAACTCGCGTGCAAGGTGGCTTGTGCTGAAAACACTCGTTTATGACTTTTAAAGTGACAGTCATCGTACCTTGAGGAATTGAGACTGTTGTTATAATTCCGTGAACCTGGCTACTGGTTGGCTGTGGAGTAGTTTGGGGATTTGGCTTCGTAGTTGGTTCTTGACTTGGCTTATCGGTGACAGGCTGCCCTATTGATGGCTTATCAGTCACTGGTTGTCCAACTATCGGCTTATCGGTAATAGGCAGCCCTATGGTTGGCTGCTCAGTCACAGATTGCCCTATGGTTGGCTGCTCAGTCACAGATTGCCCTATGGTTGGCTGCTCAGTCACAGATTGCCCTATGGTTGGATTAACAATTACAGTTTGCCCTACAGTTATGCTACTAGTCACAGGTTGCCCTACAGTTATACTACTAGTCACAGGTTGCCCCACAGTTATACTACTAGTCACAGGTTGCCCTACAGTTGTTTTTTCAGTTATAGCTGGCTTATTACTAACAGGTTGCCCAATAGTTGGCTTAGCAGTTACATGTTGCTCCACGGTTGGCTTATCAGTAACAGGCTGCCCTACAGTCGGTTTAATGATCGCAGGTTGCTCTGTGGTAGGCTTAACAGGTTCTATAGGTGGCTTATCAGTAACAGGCTGCCCCACAGTTGGTTTATTAATCACAGGTTGCTCTGTGGTAGGCATAACAGTTATAAATTGCCCTACGGTTGACTTGGCAGTTTCGGGTTGCCCTATGGTTGGATTATTATTAGTCACTGATTGCTCTACAGTTGGTATCACAGTTATAAGTTGCCCTGTTGTTGGTTTATTATTTATAGGTGCTGTCACACTTAAAGTTGTTGCTACAGCCATTGTTTCTGCAACTGGCTTCACTGTAATGGGTGGCTCTGTTATTGTTGGTGATACTGCTTAAACGTAGAAAAGTGGGAAGGAAAAAGAGATAACATAATACATATTTGTTGCAGCAGCACTGGCACAGGGAACAAAATTGCATTAATAGCACAAGTATCATTGTATACGTCTTTGGATGAAACAATGCAGGATCCCTTCTGTGTCGATCTCAAACTCAAGATCAATTTGCAGTTGAAAAAAAAAACTAACTGAAAATTAGGAAATATCAACCACTGAACTTATTCTGCTGAAACAATAAATGAAAAAAGGTAGTGTTAGTTATCATTTCAGAATAAGAAATCTCTCTCACCTTTCACAACGGACACTTGGCACCAGAATCCTGTCTCACAGTCGTTATCCTTGAGTTTCTTCCTCTTGTGAGTTAATGTGAGGCTGTTAGAGGTCGTTTGGCCG